GGGTGGGAGAGAGAGAGAGAGAGAGAGAGAGAGAGAGAGAGAGAGCACTTACGTACATTTACTGAAAACCAATCTCTGGAAATGTCACATGGGAAGCATGAACGTAACACCAAAAGTAGGATAAAACTGCAAGCAAGATTAGATACGGTGTAGTCATGCCATGGCAGATTACAATAGTTGAACATGTGTGACAGTAATTAATTGTTTATGAAACTCCCCGACTCTTACCTTTTTCCTCAAAATTTATTCAGCTTTGAAAACCTTCTCATGTGCTCGCCGTCTGTTAAAGTTGGTGCCATGCTGGACTTTGGTGGGATTGACCCTGGTTCGAATCCTTAGTAGAGATTCTTAAACGTGGGTTGTTAGGGGAATTTTTATTTGTGTTGCAAGTGCTGCTGTAAAACTCTTGCTAAGACAAAACAAATACCAAGCAAACAACAAAAACCCCAAATCCTACTTGAATGGTAACTACGGAGGCCTTGCTTTTCATTTTCGAGAAGGTATTTTAACACTATGACGACAAAGTCTTCCTACTGTCTTCTTCTTCTTCAGGTGTCAGGTCTGGAGCAGACATTGTCGATCATGGTACCGCATTCCTTCCTGTTTTCTTTTTTCTTGGTCAGCTCCGTTTTTCTCTTTGTGTCATTCGTTGTAAAGTTGCCCAGACACTCTGTGTTTGTTGTTCTTTGTCTTCCTCTGCTCTTCTTTCCCTCTATCTTTCAACCGTACCATGCATAAAAACTTGTTTCCCCCACCCCTTCCCTTCCCACCCTTTTTTCCCCTGTCTCTAGCTACATTTGGCGAGGCTACCGTCGGTCCCTGAGCACGGAGGACATCTGGAGTCTGCCCGAGCAGTACAAGTCGCGTACAGTCAACCCGCCCTTTGAGAAGCACTGGGGAGTTGAGGTGGAGAGGACTCGGAAAAAGAATAGGTGAGTGGAAGACTCTGATACGGCTGGGAGACCTTGGTACAGCTTATTTTTATTATTATTTTTTAAAATAAAATGTATACCTGCATGTGTTTTTATGGTCCTGTACAGCCAAGGAAAATTTCCCTCTGGGATAATAAAGTACTATCTTATCTTATCTTATCTTATCTTATCTTATCTTATCTTATCATACTTCTTCCTCGCTGCTAAGATAATACTCGTCGGTGTTGAAAGAGCACAACTTACTTGCACCTCCCTTCGACATCCTAAGGATACCAGAGGAAGGAAAAAGTAAAGGTAAAGTGATTAGGTGCTAGATCTATGCCTAAATATTTTTTTATGGCGAGTGATTTTGATTTTGTTTTAGTAAGAGTGTTACGGCACTTGAAACACAATTAGATCATATACGTGCCAAAGATTAGAGGCGTAACAAGTGAGTAATGAACACAAAAAGAAGGAGACAATGAAGGAGAGATAAGGACGACAGATGTTTAATAGGAAAGAAGGATCAAACTACACCAGAGCACTCACCGACCAACTGAATTTTACTAGTTGAACAACCTTTAACCTACTAAGCCAAAAGATAAAAAAAGAAGGTGGCAATGGGTTGAACAGACACTCAAGAAGCCCGCCCACAAAGTTACAAGGCAAAGCATTATATAGAACCCCAAAAGGAAGAAAAAGATAGGAAGGCTGACATGATACCCACATGGGATCAAGATCTCATTATAATATCCCAATTGAGAGAGCTGAAGAGCTGGCGTACCATAGAAAACTGCATCTCACCTCGCCCGACGCTTAACGGCTACCGAGGATGAAAAAGTAACAAAAAAGTAACCCAAAAGTGAATTGTAAATAATAATCATGTAATAATTGATGCTTTCTTCCAATAATCATATTAAAACCGATGCTTTCTTATGTAATAATCTATGCTTTCTTCCAATAATCATGTAATAATCTATGCTTTTTCCCAATAATCTTATAATAATATATTATGCTTTCTTGCAATATTCATGTATACTTTCTTCCAATAATCATGTAGGCCTATACTTTTTTCCAATAATCATGTAATAATATTTCCTGTTTTCTTCCAATAATCATGTATACTTCCTTCCAATAACCATGCAATGATCCGTGCCTTATTCCAATAAGCATGTTATAATCTCTGCCTTCTTTCAATAAATCATGTAATAATCTATGCTTCCTTCCAATAATCATGCAATAATCCGTGCTTCCTTCCAATAATCATGTAATAATTTATGATTTCTTCCAAAAATCATGTAATAATTTATGCTTTCTTCCAATACATCGTCCTCAGCGAACGAGTCACCGTCTCCGACCTGTCGACCCACGCGCGCGCCACCGCCACCGAGCGCACCCACCTGCTCTCCTACACCGCGGGGTCTCAGTCATCCGCGGGCGACCCCGCTCACGCCAAACCTCTGCGCCCGTCGCTCTTCAAAGTGCTGGTCAAGACCTACGCGCCCGAGCTGACCATAGCCTTCTCCATGCGGCTCCTGGCCGACTCCATCCAGTTCCTGTTGCCCATTCTGACTAAGTGAGTGAGGGGTTTGGTTTTGTTTGATACTTTTTTGTGCTGTTCATTAGTTGTGCGTTAATTTGCTTTTTCCTTTGATTGTTTGCTTGATTGTTCGTCCTGATCTGCGTCTGTGCTGTAGCTGTTATGCGCTTTGCTGTTGAAAGAAGTACAAAGAGAGAGAGAAAAAGACCTGAGTGTGATTCTAGTCTGGGGAGAATTTAGTATCGATTTTCTCAGGATTTCTGAGAACGTTGAGAAGAGAGAATTGAGGAGAAAGAGAAAGAGAGAGAAGGGAGAGAGAGAGAGAGAGAGAGAGAGAGAGAGA